GATCATTTAGATCAATAAATAAACTGCTGTTTTATTTGAATTGTATCGTACTGCTCTTATTTGTCCTATAAATCACTTGCATAAGATTTGATAATACTATCATAGTGAAGTAAATGGAGTTTAATTTTCTGAGGTTAGCAGACTCATCTCTCCAGACTTTTGTTTATCCCCGAAGCGAAACATTTTTAACATTGGCTAGTGTACTAAAATTTAAAGATATAGGTTAAAGGATCAGATATGATATGCCTAACAGTATGGTTTGACCCAAGAAAATTTATAAAAGCAGGTAGATCTATTTATATTATGAACTCACTGATGCGATCTAATGTAACAGTTCCATTAACAGATGGAAACGGTCCAGTGCTCTAAAATAAGGAGTGTTAAAGAATACCAATATAAATATAGGCGAAATATGTCATTGAGCAATGTCTTGAAAACCTACTCACTGCAATTAAGTATTATTTGACAAAAAAGAAATGATCCAAACACGGACTATCGTTCCTACAAACTCGAAACCGAACTAATTTTGCTCAAATCACTTCAAACATGGTTAACTGTAACTTGGAAAACTGATGTGGTGAAAGGTACTCACAAGGTGGCATATAAGTAGTATGTAGCCAAGTGTTGCCTAGAAGTTGCTAACAAAGAGGAATGTCTGGAGATCAAAATGCATGGTGCGATCATAGTGTATTATAAGCCAGAATAAATACAAAAGAAAAAAGGTAAAAACCTGCTCGTATTGCAAATGGATGTTTCAAGATTATGTGTACAAATATAGATATTTCATACGTTCTTGACTCCTTTGTACGTTATATTAGTACAAACCCCGGAACTTTTTTAAAGCCAAAGCACTCTGTGATGAACAATGATAGGAACCAGTTATTAAAACGAGAGTGCATGGGATATAACTCTAGTGCGCCATCTATGGTTTGCAGATGAATGCTCGAGCCGATAAGCCACTGCTCCACAAGATATCAAACAACTCTTAATGAAGTTGAAAAGGATATAGAAAATCTGAAGCGACAGAGAGCAGCAGGCCCTGGTAAGCTTACCCCGGAAATTTTAAAGATGGTAGTCTAGTGATAGCAGTTAGATTGACTTAGATTTTAGGTAGAACCAGGGAAGTGAACATAATCCCATCCAACTGGTCTCAATTACTGATAGTTCCAGTTTACGAAAAAGGACAAAATTCTTCCAGCGACGATCAAAGAGGGATCAGTTTAATCAGTAAAATGTCTAAAATACTGGCTTCAGTAATAGCCAGACGCCTAACTAGAGCTCGTGAAGAGAAGGCTCAAGAAAACCAGGCTGATTTCAGGTCTGGATGGGTTGTATAGACCACATAATAACATTACGACAGGTGCTGGAACATAGATACGCATTTCGGCGTACCACAACAATAGTATTTCTCAATCTTAAGGCAGCATTTTAATTTGTTGATGGTGAGGTTCTACGGCAGTATTCATCACTGAAAGAAGTACCAGAAAAATATATAAACCTTATACAGGCTCTCTACTCGAACACTACAGGTCGAGTTAGAGCTTATGGCGATCTGTTGTCGGAATTAAGTACTTCAAGTGGCGTTCACCAGGGCAGGCAACTTTCTCCATTCTTGTATCATTGACGCGCTATTAGATACGACACTTTCATCATCTGACTATTCAGAAGTCACACTTTCACCGGGTGATTTGTTTGTTGACTTAGAATATGCCAATGACAGAGTTCTACTAGGTGAAGACGCTGAAAAATGCAGTCTCGTGACCACCCTAAGCAACAATGCAGGCATACTTGGGATGCGGTTTTCCAACCTAGAAATGCAAAATGCTGCTACCTGAAAAGGAAAGTGGATTAGTTTTCGTGTTATAGACCTGGGAGCGAGACCACAGAGCCCAAGGCACAACTGTTTGAGGCCGGTCCCACACGACCTTTCTTATGGGAATTTTGTAAAGTGTTAGCTCAAAACTTCAAAAGGCCGTAGCGTCGATGATGAAAATCCGTGAGGTACAGTGAGGTGTGACATTTTAAGTGTCGACCGTTTCTAGCTCCTTCCTTCCTTCCTTGTGAGAAGGCAGCATCACTGTAGATGCTGGATGCCCGAGGGAAACGCCCTACTGAAGTCACAACCCCTCTAAAGTCAGTAGTACGACTTCGCCCTCACGTTTCCAGTTACGGCTTATAATCTTACCGTTCTCCAAGTGACCTGTCTGTCATGGTAGGACCTATAGAAACATATATTCCAGCCAATATAGCTCGGTTGGGTCATTACGATAGGCAAGCCCGACCATCAGGTCCAAGTAGCAGCTATAGACGGGAGTAATAGGGAATTAGGTAGTTGAACGTTTTGACTACTCCCCTTATCTTGAAAGACTCATCAGTGCTGATGGCCTGGTGACTGACGAAATATCAGCAGGGATACAGAAGGCCCGATTGGCTGTTGCGAACTTGAGTCACTTCTACGTTGTAACTGACTGCTTATAGTTATTGTTCGTTTAAACCCAATTTAACTGACTGACTGAGTATGGTTTGGCGAAATAAGTTGAATAAACCACAATCTTCTAGATTGTGTTCATCATTTTGTTTCGTTCTCTCTTAAAAAGTTTATTTGTTGTTTCGACTCAGTCAGCTGGCAACAACGTAGAAATTGGCATTTGACATGTACGACGGGAAACAGTATGTTTATAAACCACCAACACACTGGTAGCTTACTTGTAAAATGGTTTTTTGATATGTTCTGTCCCTTATTTCATCAACGAAATAAAATAAAAAACAGCTCTGTAGACAAAAACATTAACTCACCATCATATACTCAAAGACTAAGTTGAATAAAACTTACATGTTGTTTAGCCGCACCTAGAGACCAAGATTTGACATAATCCAAGAGGTGTTTAGCGTCTGTATTTCTACTTGATACTTCAGGTGCTGAAGATACTGCTTGTGACCTGAGAAGTTGAAAGACCGGAAGGTCTGCACGCTCAATTAAATTACAGTCTGTAACTTCATTCGTAATAAAATGTGTATGTCCACACACTGTTGGAGTAACAGTGGGTCCTGAATTCGAACAACCACATATGCTAACATCCATAGGAGATCTAAACGCACACTCATTGGGATACCTTAATGACCCGTTGTCACTGAAAATAGTCTGTGTTTGTGCAAACTGTGTTTCTGATAATTTTTTCTTAGTACCGTCAGTAACCAGTAAGTTCAGATGATTATTTATAGATGACTCCTGAACATTAACGTATTTCAACAAACCTGAAAGCAAAGATTAGTAGAAAGGAAACTAAAACTTAAAGGATAGCTTATGAGAACAATCAGATACTACGTCATTAGGCTACTGATCATTAATTCTACACTTTTGAAACAGTAATACTAAATAATTTAGCTGAAATTATTATAACTATCTAACTAACGAAAACAGTTGGTGAAATATTTTTACAGATTTGGTGTTTAACTTGTCACGATCTCTTTACTTGTAGTTTGACTTAAGAAAATGGAGTAGGAATCGAATCTTCAAAAGTCGTTTATAATTTCTGTCGTAAAAATGAAATCACTCTACTGGAGAAAGGATTAAATTTCAATTTACAAAGAAAGTGACTCAATTATATTAATAGTGATCAAAAAACTGCCACGAAAAGAATCTTATTTACTACGTCAAAAAACACCATATTTTAACTAAACAAGAGCTCAAGTCTCAAATTTCGACAGTATTGAGAGCTCTACACTCACATCAATAAGACAGAAATATTATGATCGCAAAAGCTGATAAAGGCAATACAACGGTAGTCATGAATAAAAAGGATTATGATACTAAAGCTTATGAACATCTATCAACAGGACCGTATCAAAATATTGGTCTAGTAAAACTTCAAATAGTCAAAAATAAAATAAAATCAGAAACAAATCAACTTTTTAAAGAACTAAAACCACTTATTGGCGTCTCTTTCTAGTTTGTTGTATATCCCAAATCATGCACAACATCACGCTTTTATGTGTTCCCAAAATACATAAGCCAGATATCCCACTAGGACCTATGTCGCATTGAATGAAACCATCGCAATCTATATCGTATCTTAAAACACTAGTATTCCTATTAATAAATGCTTATACTTAATTAGTGAAAAATTATACTTTGCCCGGTAGATGTCTTCAACGTACCAGTTTACTCATAAAATTCCTAAATCCATGTTAAAACTCAACTTCGTTCATCTTTAACGGGACGCTATACAGATAAACGAACGGAGGAACAATAGAATCACGTGTTTCTAATTGTAGCCGATCCTGTGCCAAATATAGAGTCAAACATTTCCGCCAATGGCATTAAAACATGAATTGAGTTTAGATATGTGGAGAAAACTTGTCGTCATGAAACCGACTTTCGTGCCAACATTCTCTTAACTGCCCGACCGTAGCTGCTACCTTGACGTGATGGTCTGGCTTGCCTATCGTATTGACCCAACCGAGCTACTTATCTTTCTATATGTCCTACCATGTTAAACAAGTCGATTGGAAAACCGCAAGACTAAAAGCAGCAACTTAACATCTGACGGCTAAGTCGTACTGCTGACAGCAGAAGGGGTGTGACTGAAGTAAGGTGTTTCCCTGCGACATCCAGCATCTGCATCGATGCTGCCTTCTCACTAGGAAGGAAGGGGTTAGAATAGGTCGAGAGTATCAACCGCATCACTTAACTCGAGAATCTCACCAGTGCTGATAGCCTGGTCACTGACGAAATCTCACCACGGATACAGAAGGCTCGATTGGCTTTTGCCTACCTGCTTCACTTATGGTGTTGGCGAGATATCCGTTTGCTAACCAAAGGACCAGTGTACTGTGCAGCAGTTCGCTAAAAATGTCACACATCACAAATTTTCGTCTCCATGGTTAGGCCACTTAAAGTGCTGAGCCAACACTTTACAAGACAGACAGGTACAACGCAGAACTTCATACGTAAGTACATCAGTTCAGGTTGTCATACCACATCAGTACAGAGACGCAACTGTCAGAGTGATAACGATAGCAGAAATATTAGCAGTAATCGAGAAGAATAATTCAGTGAGATAAATTTAGGAGGAGAATGATAGAGATTATGAGAAATTCAGAAGGTTAGCATTAGAGAGAACACAACGAGTGGATGAATCTGCGTTATTGCAAATGATTTTGAGCCAAGTCGTTCAAGGTCTCTAACCATCGGTGACTTTCGTCTCGCGCTTTAGTTCGTAAAAAGGATAAAATCCCCTTTACTTCAACACAACTATGCCAGTAATTTAAGGTGTCTATTGTTATGCCTTCTATATTGGAGAGTCACCTCGTGAAATCTTGACTCGAATCGAAGAAAATCTGACATACACAAAAAACCATCTAATAATCCTGTAGGGCTTCAAAGACTTTAAAATAAATCAACAATAGCAGTACATGCTATGTTCAATAATCATCAAGTTCATATTGAAAATATCCAATACAAAAAGGCTTTTCCAACTACAAAGAAAAGTAAGTAGCAAAAACTCTCCAAATAAATCTTACTTCATTTAATATAAAACGTCTTACTGTCCATACAACTTCCACCATTTATCCAAACGACCATATATGATTCTTTTCACATCTTACACGATCATACATACAAATTTAACTCAATCATGTTACATTTTGCAAACTCATTAATCTACGCAAGCACTCATGCGTATCTTAAATGAATCATCTTCACTGGAGTGACATGACATTAAGTTAGGGAGACCAGTTTTTGATCGACTATACAAAATATCTTTACTTTGTTACATAGTACCATTTAAACTTCAGTGAATTTAATTTTCTTATTTATCCTCCAGCGAAGTGACTTTCACTGAGTCACAAGACGTTAGCATTTTTAAACTTCTTACTCGTTGGGATACTACGAATATATTATTTTTATTACAGAGAACCTAACCAATGCTCGATTTAGAATTATCAAGTCAAAACGTGGTGACGATATCTTTAACCTATTGTTGAAAGGTTGAGTGCTCTAACTAGTATCCGACATTTCTACAGACTAAAATCTGACTATGCTGTAAGACAACCTCCGGAAAAATTCTAAAACTCAAACGATTGTTCTTGAAAGCAGTCACTGATGAGACGAATAATAAATAAGTGTTAGTCATTGTTTTATGGGAAAAGAAATAATGACGCAAACAGATTCACGTGCTATCCAATAACTGAAGTCAAAACTCATTTTCAGTTAGTGATGAGGATAAGTGAAAAACTACCCACCCACTTACTTGGGTTTTCCTGCTGCGAATTTAAAAAGCCAAAATCAGGTTCGTGGTGCAGTTTGATTCTGCGTAATAACTCTTGGTCTGAAATGAACTCATCTTTCCCGCCTGGAAGATTTACGACTCCAATTTCGGACTGATATGATGTCTTGATTGTTGGAGAGATCGGACTGCAAACATTTTGCGGCAGGACCTGTGTTTAGACGTTAAAGAAATATTCACTGAAAATACATTTGTAAAATATAAATAGGAAAGAACCGTACATCAAACAATCAAACAAAAGCATCACTGAACTTGTATATATTACCAGAAAGATTTAAATAGCCATACTGACTCAGCATCTTGCTGGTTCTTCAGGTACCAAACTTCCACTATTCACGTTTAGAGAAGCAATGCACAATAAGCAGCTATTATAAAAGTATCATAACAAATTTAACAGCCTAAAGTTTGAATCGAAACGTATGGACAGAAACAACGAAGACTAACCACGTGTATGTGAAGAATCGTCAACTACTCATAAAATGGTAACGTACTTTGAAACTAAAGGGGAGACTATCATTTGTGAACGACTTTTGGGCGATATTAAAGTGGCTCTGAAAAACTTCAACCAATTACGAGTATCGAGAATTAAAGATTAGTATGAGGGGTATAAATCGGAAGTTCACCTACAAGGTTAGCGTTAGAGTAAGAGATTTCATCCCAAACTAGCAAGAGCGATAACGCTAAAATGTTATTTAGCTACACAGATCGATCGATGCGGTTTTCCCCTCGAAATGCAAAATGTTGCTTCAAGATTGGGTTTCATCGGCACCTGAACTAGTGATAGGGAGTGAAGTAGTCGAACGTGTAGACCACTTCACTTAACTCGAGAATCTCATCAGTGCTGATAGCCTGGTCACTCACGAAATCTCACCACGGATACAGAAGCCTCGATTGGCTTTTGCCTACCTGCGTCACTAATGGCGTTGGCGAGATATCCGTTTGCCAACCAAAGGACCAGTGTACTGTGCAGCGGTTCGCTCTGTCTTACTTTATGGCTGTGAAACATGGCCAGTGAGAGTAGAAGATATTCATAGGTTACTGGTTTTCGATCATAGGTGTCTCCGAAGCATTGCTCGTATATCGTGGGACACCCGAGTGAGCAACGCTGTTATCAGGAATCGGGTGCTAGGTAAGAATGGCAGATCAATAGATGAAGTGGTGAAACTTCATCAGTTGAGGTGGTCGGGACATGTGCTGGGTATGCCTAACCACCGACTGCCTCGTCGAGCTTTGTTTTGTAGTTTAGGAATAGGTTGGAAGAAAGTTAGGGGGGCCAAACCAAAACATGGCATAAATCCATGAAGTCATTGACGAGTGGACTGAGCCATGTCGGTAATTGTCGACTACCTGGTTGGTATCCGCGAGATGATAATAATCGATGGTTAGAGACCTTGAATGACATGGCTCAAAATCGTTCGCAATGGCGCCAGGGCATTTATTATTTGTGTTCTCTCAAATCCTAATCTTCTGGATTCTTCAACACCTCTAGTTTTGACTTTCGAAACTTTTCTCACTGAATAATGTTTCTTGAATATCTTCTAATCCTAACCTCTCCGATTACTTCTAATACCCTTACTACCTCTTCTACTATTGGATTTGAATTGACAATTACATCTCTGTGCTGATGTGGTATGGCGACATGAACTGATGTACTTAAGTACGAAGTTCCACGTTGCAACTGACTGACTAACTGACACAGATCGATCCATTACGCACGAAACCCAAACGTGTCTGAGATCTGGCTGATACATCAACAAATTACAGACTTACCTACGGAGGTAAGCAACACAAGAAAAAATTGGATCATTAAGTCAGTTTTAAGGGTACACCTTTACTTATTGCAAGTCAGATGAGTACACGAATATCAGATCCTATTTCGGCTGACAGACGTAAAAAAACTGTCAATAATATCGTTTGCAAACTATGAAAGAAAAATGCTAATATCTTGCATTCACCTCATCCATAGTCTCCAAACTATTGATTCCAGATGCATGTCCAAGAGAATATGACTTTTCCAAAAGATTCCTCTTGAGAGATTCTACTCGACTTCGTCTACGAGCATTCTGACTGTCAAAATCAAAACACGTACGAATCAACTCGTCATCACTATCCAGATAAGGCAGAAATGCAACAACGTACTTGTCACTCCATTTTCGGACGTAGCATCCACATCCTAAAGCTTCAGGAGCATCGAAAAATTCATCTTCTGAGCTCATTTGTGAACATGCAACTCACAGACTCTCGTCTAACCTTCAGCTAAATTGTGTGCTTGTGGAGTAGGAGGAGTTTTCTATGAGACTATCTGGAAGAATAAAATACAAATGAAGAAACTAGGCCAAATACTTAGTGCCACACGACATGCACTTAAATTCATTGTACAAAACTATCGACAACAAACAGATAAACACAAACATGAGAGTAAGATAAAACGATAATGAAAGCTAGGAATCGATAGCATAGATTTTAGAATTTGTTACACAAAGTCAACCCAAACAGAGCGCTTTCTCAAAGCCAATGACCCTGTGTGTAGGTCAAGGCTAAAGATTTGAAAAAATGATTTTGAGACCCTCTTACTCTACTACATACATTTACAGCTATAAATATTTATCAATAAAAACACAAAATCTCTCTATCCAGAGAAACATATAGGGTTAATCATGTAACGCTTTCGAAATCTTACTCTATCAACTCCTACTTCTGATTATTTGTTTGTGTTATTTTCATGCTTTTGTTGTTCCTAGTTGTTTTCGAATGTCTTCTCTATTAAATGTAGGTACATTCTATGTGCTAGTGAATCGGCTCATCTTTTCTCTAGTTCTTTACTCTTTCAGATGACGTAACACTCCATCAATACACAATATACCTTCCGACTGGGCACGGAATTACCAAAGGTTAGAGTTAATTTGTTGTGATTGTGTTTACATCCCCAAATAATATGTTTTTTCAGGTAACAACATCTTAACATCGAAATACACAAAATGTATCTCATGTAATCATAGTTAAGGTAAAATTTTCGACGTGCACATACTGAGTGAAGAAAAGAAAATTTATATTCGAAATGGAGAAGGAAATTATCAATTCAAAATCGCAGCTATATTTCTCTGAGGCCATCGGACTTTTCATCCGTATCTAGACGTTACTGGACTTTCAACGCTTTTATTCGTTGCTGTCGCTGATTGTTTGAACCCACGTCTCGGTGATTGGATGTCTTTTGAAGGATTTGTGCCAATTAACTGTGTTACGGGAGAAATGAAGACATTTGGCTGATTAAAACCTTTATATAAATATCATTAATTTCACTGTTTTTTGGGTATATTTGTTTTACTTAACTTATGAACTTCTTCGAATTATTATTTTCGGCCATTTTTGGACTCCTGTTTGTCTTGGTTTGTTCGTTTGCAGTTTTTTGCTCCAGGAATCTATAAAATAGAAGGTAATTCTAATTATTATAATTATTGTTGTTAGAACGACATTGGTCGTCTATTTGTAATAAACGAACGACATTTTGGTCAATTATTGTGAATTGACAATAAACTTTGGTACCTACTTGGGAATTTGGTTTTGCTTTGAATTGGGTTCGTGAATTGCGGATAGATCGACACACCGTACTTCTAAGGAAAAAGGAGCGAAAAATTGGACGTAACAGACTGATCGTCATTTTCGATGAAAGCTGGTTTTACTCTGTTGATGCTAACTACATCCGTTTACCCAGCTTTATCTACCATGACGATTTTGTCGTTTCTCTCGATCATTTTAAATGACCCACATAGATCGGTTGTAATGGACGCCGCACGAAATCCCTCCTGAAAAATATATGGGTACTATCATTCAGTCACTTCGGAATAAACACACGATGTTGACTTTACTTTCGAAGCGTTATTCGAAGATCACTCATGTGTCCTACTAGACGATGTATGTAGTTAGGTATATCAGTTGGAACAATCTTACCTGAGGTGAACAACTCTCCTGGTAGACGTAGGGTAGGTCCATAAACTGAATCTGCTGGCCAACATCCTATGTCTAGTTTAACTGTCGATCTTAAACTCAACATGACTAATGGAAGCTTGTTGGCCCAATCATTGTCGCTAATAACACTTTTAAAGGAAGCTTCAAGTTGACGACGTAGGTTCTCTACCATATCATTTGACATTGGATGGTAGGATGTTGTGGAACGTCTTTAAGAAATCAATACCAAATTTAGGAATGGATACATTTGCGATGAAAAATTCCCACAGAAATGGAGTATTTCGATCCAACGATCCAAGGTGACCTTATGCTTGCCATGAGTTATTATGTTTAACTTATTTGCTTCCCTGAGCGTTATTGCCGTAATAATATTACGTCGCTCATTGCTTTCAGGAAGCGCGACGCTTATTTCTGCTTCTGTGTCAACTGAAAACTGAGTACCTGTTATTCCGTTTTTAGGAGTTACGTCAGCTGTCACGTCGGCTACCAACAATCGACGAGATCGTTTCCCTGTCGTATTACCTTCAAATGTGCATGGTGTTCTACAATGCCGAGTTATCCTGCCGTATATCTTGTGATACCAGTATATCGTGGGAGCTGAACGTGATTGGCTTTTGTCACTAGATCTAATTCGTGAAAATCTTTGTGGTCTGCCGTTCCCAGTCAGATTCGTCAGCTTTTGGCGTAAAATACTAAGCACTTCTTCCAACTTCCCAATTTCATATTTTGCTGGTATTTGATGCACCTGTATGTGGGATCGATTTTGAAGGCTTTGTTTTCGAAAATCCATCCATGTATCTATTTGTATTAGGTCATTATTGATTCCTTCAGTTGTATATTTTGTGAATCTGTTCGATTCCATTCTGAGATGATAATATTTGTATTTTTTTTAGTTTCTATTTATTCTGCCTTCACTGAGTTTCTGTTTCTTTCTGAACTGCATTATGTTGTTTAAGCTGATACTTACTACTGGCGACCGCCATGTTAATCTGTTCCCCTTTCGATTGGATTGTTTGCGCTGACTGGAATTGTGCATTCCGACAGTGAATTTGAACACTCTTCCAGAATTGGAAACACTGTGTGATATAGCAACAAAATAATATCTGTCGAACGAATCTGATCTATTCAGGAGGGATAGAATAACATGTATCCGTGTTATTGTTTGGATTAATTGAACAATTGTTGAAGTAATGACCAAGAGGTAATATTGTTTAGGTAATGATGTATATTTATATTTTTGACGAATATTAGAGCCGATATTTATCCGAATCACCTATCTTGGATTTCAGCTGGGCAATACGCGGATCAACACTTGCTGGACAGTTATTCTTCAGTTCAAACCTCAGTTTAGATTCTGCACTGTGGACTCGGTGTTTTCGTTCTATCGAAAATTCTGCCACGTAATCTGTATCGGCATCGCTATGCCCAACTGCGACGATCTGCTGCCTTTTCAGAGGGAGTCAATGAAGTCTTAACTGATAAAATATGCTTTTGTCTATCTCTCTGTCCCGTATTATGCCTCTCATGTGATTCTTCAGTTGGATGGAGACAAATCGCCTAATTTAACGCGACTTAGGAGTCGGTCGAGGTCCTGTCGGTTAATTTACGAAACAGCATTTTTCACGGCCTATTTTGATGTTACGTCCAATTTTTCGCTCCTTTTTCCTTAGAAGTACGGTGTGTCGATCTATCCGCAATTCACGAACTCAATTCAAAGCAAAACCAAATTCCCAAGTAGGTACCAAAGTTTATTGTCAATTCACAATAATCGACCAAAATGTCGTTCGTTTATTAAAAATAGACGACCGATGTCGTTCTAACAACAATAATTATAATAATTAGAATTACCTTCTATTTTATAGATTCCTGGAGCAAAAAACTGCAAACGAACAAACCAAGACAAACAGGAGTCCAAAAATGGCCGAAAATAATAATTCGAAGAAGTTCATAAGTTAAGTAAAACAAATATACCCAAAAAACAGTGAAATTAATGATATTTATATAAAGGTTTTAATCAGCCAAATGTCTTCATTCCTCCCGTAACATTTAAATACATCATATGGTTTAGCTAGGACCTCTCGTACATTATCTGCTACCTCGTCCGGAAGCAGTGCACATATGTGACCAATTTCATCTGTTTGTGAATTGATACGGTTAACTACAAAGTAATTTTCTAGCCGAATGAACCGAAGCTGTGGGTCGGTGACCCTAAAAGGAGTATTAGATAGAGTAATGAACCTCACGGCCACCACTGGTGGAAGACCTGTGTCGTTATCTAAAAACATACTCATGTACATTGAGTAATACACAAATAAAATAGCAAATGTGAGGGGGGATTAGATAGACAATAATAACGCTGACAAATTTTGTGTTCTTTACAAATGGGTGTAATTAAACAAAGAAGGGTGACGACCAGCAGTATAATTTAAGATGAGGATTTTTTTTTGATTTGCAACTATTCAACTGGATTTACCTACATCCAACAGTTTATATACTAGACTTTACATCATTGCGAAAGGCAGTAGCTGTTTCGGCTTAGTAGCCAAGTTGATAACGTGAGTACATTTGAAGCGAACGGCAGTGGTTCCTAGCTCTTGGGTGAACATTGACTTCAGTTTGCATGTACATTTCATGACGTACGATAAATACTTGTATTGGTTACACTTTTGACATACACTGTATTTAGTATTACTATTCACCGAACTTACGATAATAAGCTAACGTTTCCTTGTAGACACAGGCCGATAGTTTTCACTCACTTACGAAGTCGCGACTTAGAAATTAAACCGAATATGGATCTAGAATGAATAGTATGTCCACTTACTACTTAAATTGTGGCTCATTTCCTGACATTCATCGGAAAAGAAGCGTACAGCTTATTAAAAACTTTGGCATATCCAGAAAAACCTATCTCACTTCCCTATGCAATGCTTAAGGAGTTATTATTGAATCATGTAAACAGCCCTGGTTTTGAATGCCGTGAAAGGGAAAAATTTCATAAGATGATTCGTCAAAATGACCAAAAGGTTTAGCAATTCATTCTTGAATTGAGGAAACAACCTGTCAAATGTAATTTCGGTGATCAACTTCATGTGTAGCTGAGAGACCGATTAATTGCAGGAATTAACATACCTAGTTTGGAAAGAGAGCTGTTAAGAATGTCAAACTGTTTCTTTCAAGTGTTAGAACTGCGTGCATTAACTACGAGGCGTTGAATGAACTTGATATTCAGTCGATGAAGATTTCCAATACTTTGATTAGTTGTCTTGATGAAAAACAATCTCAGGGTCAATCAAAATTGTGTTCGTTTAACAGTGGTTCCTATTCTCGTGTAAATATGAACGGTGTTTCAATAAAGAATTACAAAGGAAATCACAAAGGTGAGACCAAGTTTAGCAAATGTTTATCATTTGGAAAACTTCATTCTCGTAATTCATGTGCATTTCGCAATGCTAAATTTTTTAGATGTGGTAAGATAGGACACATTCAAGCAGTATGCAAAGCTACTGTTCATTTTGCCTCAAGTAGTACTAAATCTTGTAATTTAGATCCCAA